AGTTGAAGTTCTAAAATAACTATTATAAACCGGATAGTTCCGGTCCTTGATTCTGATTGGTTGAGCCACGTTCGAAGCTGTTGTAAATTACTCTACAAACACACACCTTTGTTTACTTTGTGTGTTGCTCGGCAACCACTTTATTGCATCCACAACTGTTTCTGAGGAACTGCATTGTTTGGCGGAAGAATACTGTTTTTATTAATATCATTACACTTTATTTGCTCGGTTTTATTTAGTGAAACCTTACTACATACATGGGATAACCGTTTTATAAAAGCAATAAGCCCCGTGAAGCCGTGGTTTACAGTGAATTTATAACTCCGCTTCGCGTCGTGCCTAACAACGCCCCTTAGCTGTTATAAATTCACTGTAAACCATGGCTTCTTGGGGCTTATTGCTTTAATAAATAACTAATAACTAAATAAACAAAAACTAATAAATTAATTAAAAACCTAATACATATTATATAGACATATTTTTTTTTAAAAACTAAAATAAAAATCGTAAAAAGACACAATAAAGTTACTAAACTTAAAGAAAATGTCAAATTAAAGAGAAAATAAAAAAACAAATCTAATTCAAAATATGAATAAGAACTACTACTAAAATGATTCTGTTGTAAATGCTATTTCATGTTGATTTTTGGCTTTTATATCAAATTCCATTTATATACTATATGGCATGTATGATGTTTAATATCCTTTCTTGTTCTCTCTCTGCAGCCGTTCTGTGGATGTGAGCACATACCCTGTGTCCTGTAGAGATCAGTGCAGCAGTCCTCAGCTAACACACTCTTTCCTGTTGTGTAAATATCCTGTACCACCCTCTACTGGCCGCAGGCTGAAGACGCAGTCACACACACTGACAGCCCAGCTGCTGGCTGCTGAAGACCTCACACCTCTCGCTACACCCATGCTCATAGAAGAGGGGTAAGACACACACAGAATTAAATATCAAACATGACTTTTGTGGTGCATTTGACTTTTTCAAAGGGGACATATCTAAATCACAAGGCAATCTCAATTCTTGCACCGCTCTTGTTTAGCCTGTATATGCTCCCACTAAGTCAAATAATGAGAAAGGCAATTTGGTTCTATCACAGCTATGCAGATGATACCCAGATTTACCTAGCCTTATCGCCAAATGACTACAGCCCCATTGACTCCCTCTGCCAATGCATTGATGAAATTAACAGTTGGATGTGCCAGAACTCTCTTCAGTTAAACAAGGAAAAAACTGAAGTCATTGCATTTGGAAACAAAGATAAGTTCTCAAGGTGAATGCATACCTTGACTCTAAGGGTCTAACATCTAAAAATCAAGTCAGGAATCTTGGTGTGATTCTGGGGACAGACCAGTAACTAAATCAGCATACTATCATCTACAAAACATTGCAAGAATTAGAGGTTTTGTTTCCAGTCAAGACTTGGAGAAACTTGTTCATGCCTTTATCACCAGCAGGGTGGACTATTGTAATGGTCTCCTCACCGGCCTTCCCAAGAAGACCATTAGACAGCTGCAGCTCATCCAGAACGCTGCTGCCAGGATTCTGACTAGAACCAGAAAATCTGAGCATATCACACCAGTCCTCAGGTCCTTACACTGGCTTCCAGTTATATTTAGGATTGATTTTAAAGTACTTTTACTCGTTTATAAATCACTCAATGGCGTAGGACCTAAATATATAGCAGATATGCTCACTGAATATAAACCTAACAGACCACTCAGATCATTAGGATCGAGTCAGTTAGAAATACCAAGGGTTCACACAAAACAAGGGGAGTCCGCTTTTAGTTATTATGCCGCTCGCAGTTGGAATCAGCTTCCAGAAGAGATCAGATGTGCTAAAACATTAGTCACATTTAAATTCAGAGTCAAAACTCATCTGTTTAGCTGTGCATTTACTGAATGAGCACTGTGCGATGTCCGAACTGATTGCACTATGTTTTATGTATAATCATTTTCTATTCTTAACTGTTGTAAATTTATTTTAAACCTCTTAAATCAATTTTTAAAATCATTTTCAAAGTTTTTAAATGCCTTGTTTTATTGTTGTGATTTTTTATTTTAATTTTATGTAAAGCACTTTGAATTACCATTGTGTATGAAATGTGCTATATAAATGAACTTGCCTTGCCTAAGTCTGGACAATATATTGCATATTTACAATACATTTCGTCCCCTTGGAATTATAAGGTTCTATCTGCATTCCGAGTAGTTTTGAGATATTGAGCTTCAAAGTTTTTGCATTCCATTCGACTGTGTAGATAGAACCTTTTTGTTTTATAAATACAAAGTCCCAAAATGTACACAACATTAAAACATCTATCACATAATGTAAATAAGATGTCACAGAATAATAATATGTGAATAACTCAATTTTGACAAATATGTCAGATAGAACCTTTTATAATTCCAAGGGGACGATTTATGGTGATTTTTGTTAAAAGAAGCAATATTGTGGGGATTTACACACTTACTTGACCTTTAAGTGTCCAAACGTCTGTGTTCGCTGTAGGTTTAATGGTCCAGACCTGAAAAACTCTGGCACCATCTTTATCTAAATGTAACATGGGAGCTTGTTGTGAAAATGCAGCTGACCTTGAGCTAAATGCTGATATATTTTTAGTTATTTTTGTAATGGGTGATTATGACTTCTTTAGTAAAAGCTTACCAGAAAGTATTTTAGAATTTTTATCATATGTTAATTTAAATATATTTTGGGTTTGCTTGGTCTTTATTTTGTGTTTATGTAACTTTTTTGTATAACTACGTTTTTGCCATGAAGATGCAGACATGGCAATAAAAATAAATAACTACTATTACTAATAGATTATACGAAGAGTGAAATTGAAAATAAAAGCAATATTTTGAATATTGGAAGCACATCGGTTGCCTAATGTGTTGGAAAATAGCAATAAATAAATTTTCTGAGTTTTTTTTCTTACTTTTTTTGTATTGTATTGTATTTTTTTTATTTATTTCAGTGAATTGTGTTTTAATGAATTGTTCAAAACACAAATTCATTTATTTGCTAGTGTCATAATTCAAAAATATTCCCAGAAGCTTATGGATGGCTTTTTATATTTAAAAATATTTGAGCAAAAATATGTACAATACTGTTATTTAATTTTATAAAGCTTTGTGGTATTTAATAACATAATAATTTTTGTTTATCTATAACGTTGCTATATTTCCCATCCCTAAATATATTCGTAAAATATATATATTTTTTATTATTCTTTACTGTGTCAAAACCAGTCTGTTTAATTCTAAGGTTCTCTCTTTCTGTCATTTGTTCAGGTATAACGTGACGCAGTCGGAGCTGTTGGCTCTGCTGTGCCATATAGCTGATGAGCTGTTATTCAGACAGATTGTCTGGCTGAAGCGTTTACCCTTCTACGGCGATCTGTCCATCAAAGACTGCACCCGTTTACTGGGGGCTTCCTGGCATCAGCTCATCCTGCTCTCCTCGCTCACGGTGCACAGCGGACAGATACTGGGAGAACTGGCCAACATCACACACCAGTACACACCGTCCAACCTGACACTACAGGGGTATGAACGATAATGATCAGTAATGCACAGTAACTCCGCCCACCATGAAATCTCATTGGTCCAAAATATCTATGAATGTATACATGTGTGTATGCAGGTTTGGTGAGGATGCTATGGAGGTCATGGAGAGTTTAAATTTTCTCTTCCGTAAGTTTCATCAACTAAATATCAGCAATGAGGAGTACAGCTGCTTAAAGACCATCACTCTGCTCAATCAAGGTAACACACAGACACTAACTGAGATCTTTGTGGCCATAGCAGATGTGTGTAATTTGAGTGTGTGTGTGTGTGTTGCAGATATGGCAGGTTTGTATGCAACACATCCACGCTGGAACAGTTAAGTGAACGTTACTGGTCCGTGTGTCGTGACCTGACAGAACGACTCCACCCTCGCCGACCCAAACGCTTCTCTGAAATCATCACCTGCCTTTCTGAAATACGCTACACCTCAGGTGTGTATCTGTGTAATACTGGAGGGAGATTACGGGAGAGAGTGAATGAACGCAAAAAGATGTTTTTTTTTTCTTCAATTGTTCAAAGTAGAGTAGTATATAAATAGAAATGAATACTTTATTCAGTAAGGATGCATTAAATTGATCAGAAGTGACAGTAATGACATTTATAATGTTACAAAAGATTACATTTTTTTAAATAAAATGTTTAATAAAAAGATTACAAAAAAATATATATCACAGTTTTGCACAACTTTTCAACAAATGAGCAGCAAATCAGCATATTAGAATGATTTCTGAAGGATCATGTGACACTGAAGACTGGAGTAATGATGCTGAAAATGCAGCTTTGTACCACAGAAATAAATGACATTTTAAAGGCTGGAGCGACGAGACAAAAACATTAAAACCCATTACAAACGAGGCCATCGTTGCATCCAGTGGGGACATAATTACGGATTATAATGACTTATACTATCTTTTTACGCGTTGCGTTGCATCGCGCCATGTAAACATAAAACCATTTTTGCATTTGTGATCGGAGAAATGACAAACAACAAGCGCTACTCTACACTGCTCAAACCTCGCGTTTGAATCGTCAGTGGCAAATCCTTAAAGTTTAAACATGCTTACAGTCTGTGAGTCAGAACAGCCGGCATTGTAGTCTACTCTACCAGGATCAGGAAACAGTCCTCCATAAAATGCGCTGGACACATCTGAATATTTGGGTTGAACTGTTCTGGAACAGTGTTGTAAATACAACTTAACCACTGATTTCTAGTCGTGTCCATTTTTGGAAGACCAAACAAAGTAGTTTCGCTTTCACAACGAAACGCACGGCGGGCTAGAGTGAGCAGAGGCGGCCGGCTTGCGGCAACCACATGTGACGACCTCGGGCTGGACTCCACTTCATCCACAGTGAATGCCGATCCGTCGATCCACAGCGCGAAGTTGATGTATTTCCTCAGCGACCAGCACGGATCAGCTCTAGGCATGACGAAGCGGATATCGTCCTCTTTTGGAAGGCCAACCAAAGTAGTTTCACTTTCACAACGAAACACACAGCGCCTTCACGATGTGGTGGCAGCAACAATACTACAGCGAGAATAAAAGTTACGCCTTTCTTTGCGTGAACATTTGGGCGGCGTTATGCAAATCTTCCCACATCGTGACGTAGATGTGTGGGGGCGTGTTAGAACGAGCCGTTTTAGGTTGGCGTGGTTGACTCTTAACTTTTATAAAGAATATCTCTTTGGATTTGAGACTTTAGTCTTTGCAACTTTACAGATCTTCTTTATGCACCAAGAGCTTGTAACACTCCAAAGAGAAAGGAAAAATTGAAATCGCATCATATGACCCCTTTAAAATATATTCAAATAGAAAACTGTTACTTTAAACGGCAATAATATTCCACAGTCTTACTGTTTTTACTGTATTTCTACTCCAATAAATGCAGCCTTGGTGAGCATAAGAGGCTTTTTTCGAAAACATTCAAATTTTTGAACAGTGTTGTGTTTTAAAGCAACAGTTCACTCAACTCAACTCCATTTTATTCCAAATCTTTTTGACTCTCACTGGCACACAAATGAAGATGTTCACTGCATAATTCCAGCATTTAGCAGAAAACCTAAAAACATTTTAGCCTCACATTAGTTTCGTTGCAGCACAGTATTTCAGACTTGGTGTTAAGTATTTTATAGAGATGCATTATTTCCTTTTAAAATCTCGTTGCTCATCTATTTGATGATGCTGTTTGAATATGCGACAGTTAGCCAATCAAAATGTACCTCTGCTAATGACGTCATTATTGGTTACAGGTAAGATGATGGCCATTCCACTGGAGCAGCTCCCTCTGCTGTTTAAGGCGGTACTGTACTCCTGCACAACCAATCAAAACCCCTGGCTAACCTGCAGCTCCACCTCCAAGACATAGGCCACGCCTTCAACTAGCTGTTTTTATTTTTTTCCCCTAATGTATTTATTACATGACAAAGTTGAATGTAAAACTCTTGACAGATTTGTATGTGATTTCGAAATAGCGATCTATCAAGATGCCTGCAAAGAATACCTCAGGAGCTTGACTTTTGAAGGAAAAAACTCTTTGACCATTGTGTTAATGATCAAAATGAAAAGAAAAACCAGAAATGAACACACTGCAATCCATTGTTGAATTATGCAGCCTCTAGCTATGATATGAAATGTCCTTGTGTTGCAGGATGTCACTGATAAAATATGCCTGATAAAATAGTGAAGATGCCAAGGTGCTGAATTTCATTCAAAAAACAATGTTTCTTATTGAGATGATAGCTACATTTGAGCTATAGGGATTTAAATAGTCAAAATGATCATCCGCAGCTCACAAGTTTGAGTACCAAAGCTGAGTGTGCCACAATATACGTGCTGTTGACCAATAGTTTTTCAGGATGGAGACTTTACATTTGAGCCAGTCGCCGGGGTAACGAAATGCAATATGCACACTCTTTATCCCAGGTGTGTGTGTGTGTGTGTGTGATTTCCTCTCACATGTGTCTTCAAGGAAGTGTGAATGTTCGAACAGGGTTTATGTGTTTGTATTTTGCCGTAGTTGTAGTTTTGTTGGAAATGTTATTCCTCCTTTTAATGTTTTGTTCATTTTTACTCCTGTTTTTGAACATGTGTTTGAGCTGTTACCAGAGGAGGCGTTTCTCAGGAAGGTTGTTTTACCTGATGAGGGTTGTGTTTGATGGAGCATTCCAAATATTACTAAACATTGGAAGAATTTCATGTGGTTTTAACCTTCCATTCCTTCTTTGAATGTTTACATATCTGTTTTTGCCGTAGCTAAGACAATGAGAGGGTAAAATATAGCGGCGTGCTTGCGGATAGCATGCGAGAGTCGCTCTGAAGAAGGGGGGTTATCATTTTCTTTGTGCACGCCATGATTCTCTCCGTTTTGTTACCATCTGAGGCCTTGAAGTGCCTGTATAGTTGATGACATAAAGACCGGGCGGTAAGAAGACTGTGTCACTCAGCTGTTTGTCTTTCTTGATATTCATTGTTCATCTGATTAGCATGGTATTTTTCTTCTCTGCATTTGAATGTTTACAGCATTTAAAATTACATCGTACTAATTTTCGTTTTATAAAGAAGGCCTGATAAACATGTCTCTGTGTGTTGATTTATCATCAGTGTCTCTGTTTGATCTTCTCTATGGTGCTCTTGTGTTTTCTTGGCTCTGTGGCCTTGCAGATTTAAAGTAGCATGCTTAATAACTGTTTTTAGTCAATATGAATTCAGTTTAAGGCCATCTATGTGCTAAACGTTGACAAATTTCACTAGTCGATACACACAACACATTATAACAGGTCAAAATTATTGATGACTCATCCTGCACTACACAGATTTTTGTCCAATCAAATGGTCTCTAAAACAAGAATGCCCCTCCCCCAATACCACCTCCAGTCAAATAACATTAAAGGAAATGCTTATCACAATTGAAAAAAACAGCAGCATTTTTGTTTTCAACAACAACTTTGTGAACATACTAATACAGGATTGGTCAGTAACATTTTGAGTATTAGTAAAGGATCAAGTGCTTTGATAAGTCATCTGTTGGCTTGCAACTAGCTAGTATACTTATGTCCTATACTGTGTTAGTGGATATATATAGGAAGGAACCGCAGCCTGTATTTTTGTACAGTCATTAAAACTCAATCAAAACAGACAAACTCAGCATTTGTTGTATGTCACATTTGTGAAAAATCCCAAAATGAATTTACTATTTAAAATTCAAATGCTTAATGCCACATACAATCATTATTCAACAGAAAACTTGCTGTTCCAGATGTAAAATGGGCATTCAATTTTTATTTTCAATGTTAATTTGCAAACCTTTGAAGACGAGCCTATACTGTGAGCTATGAGGTTGTTAGACAGTTGTACATGCTTTGTTGAAGACGTCAGCCTGTATTTTTTCTACTTATTTTTTAAATAATCATGTTTAACCATGGAATTCATGGTGAAAACAACATCATTTTGCAGCAAAAGAACTCTAGAACTACCACTTCCATGAAGCACTGTGAATGATATAAACTATTTAATATTTGTGTAGATATATGCATATATATATATATATCCACTGCTATATCCATCACAATGCTTCATGGGACAGTAGTTCTTCCACACATTAAAGCCACTCACTGCCTCTTATTTTTAAAAAAGACAAGTGCGCCAACATATAACGCCATTGCGTTATGGGCGTCCGTACGAGGTATCATAATAAAAGGCAAAACACCAAAAATAATTCTTTAAAACTATATTTGTGATTCCCCTCATAGCTGGTTGGTTTGGTTTATGGCTTATAACTGGGAAAAAAATACTTCCAGAGCCAAGGCCGCTGAAAATGTGGGCAGGCAATTGCACTCTATTAGCATCATCACAGAAATTAAGCTATATTTGCATATAGAAAGGGAATAGTAGATACATATTTATGTGGCTAAATACCCTGATGCATAGAGACCCAGTCAATTAAAATGGATGAAGTAACTTTGCTCTCTGATACCACGGATTTCCTTAGAACTAGATATGGGTCTGATTTATCTTACCCCTTATATTATCTTCGTGAATTGAGAATGACGCCTAAGAAAAATTACAGGAAGACTGTCCATTGAGAGAAAAAAAGTTTATTAATATAAATTGTGTAAATCTCAGATGTCAAAACTTGCAGATTTGCCTTTATGTGCTGAATATACAAGCCTGTTGAAGTGCACTTAAGATGTAAAGTGTGGCCAGTGTGAAAGCGAATATTGTTTATTGATTTTTTTTCTTAATTCTCATTCTTATTATTTCCCCCCTTCTTCAATTCATCTTTTATGCCAGAATATAATTCTATTCAACTATAGTTGAATAATTGACATGTTGGTGGAAAGGCCACGAAGGTCAAAGACTACAAAGACTCTTTTCAATCTCTTCTTTTCTCCCCTTTCTCTTTTAAAAATAAAATCAGGTGCAATGTTGAGGTCTTATGTGAGCTAGAGATGACAACTCCATTGGATGTTCGGGGGTTTTGACCTTGCCAGAATCCTTTTTTGTTGAACCGCACAAAATCTCTTTTTGTCATTTAAGCTGTTGTTTAATTTTTCTGGGACAATATTTTGATGGACAGATCGTAGATAAAAATATCTATCTGAGACAGACATTCATCATGTCAGTGAATAGGAACCATGTGTTGTACAATAAGGAAAGTACAATAATAACTATTCTTTCAAGCTTTTTGTTCATATTTTCTTAGATTTAGTCTTTAGGGGCAGTTGGTGGTGTGTCTTAAATTGATATTTTTTATGTGATAATAAATGGCTAATATGATAATATTGATCATTTTATATTAAGATATCATGATATCTATCTATCTATCTATCTATCTATCTATCTATCTATCTATCTATCTAATCTTCTACAAATGATGTGGACATCTCTAAATGCGCTGTCTTGGAAGACAATCGTGCAGTTGCTGGACCAATCAGATCTCAGTGGGAGAAAAAGTACGTAAAATAGGCCTAGTAGTTAATTTTTTTATTTAGTCTATAAATGAATTAAATTAAGGTTACATTAAGATGTGAAAGTGGCATTTGTGCAAACATTGTTCATTTTTATTCCTCACTCTCAGAAAAAAAGGTACAAAAGCTGTCACTGCAGTAGGCCTACATTTTTAAAAGGTACACTTTTGTACCTTTTTCAGGTGCGTATTAGTAGCCTACATTAAAAGGACATATAGGTCTACCTAAAGTGTAAATATTAGTACCTAAATGGTACATAATTAGCAACTTTAGAAAAGGTGACCGCTTTTGTACCTTTTTTTCTTAAAATAAAAATCAGCTATATGCATATCAACAACAACAAAAATAGGTCGGTCGATTTGAAAGCAACGCTGTATATATTTTTAAGCATAAAATGAGTTTATTCGAAGCAGTCGTTTGGAAACTTGTCTCCTCCCCATCCTCAGTACCTGTTGCAGATAGGCGCTTCTTCCTGTCGCTCATTGACTGTTTTGTGTGTGTGTGTGTGTGTGTGTGTGTGTGTGTGTGTGAATATGAGGGCATGTCTACTGTGTGAACGCACGAGGCCAAACACTAAAGAGCTGCTGCCCTCGCGCTGTCCTCGCTCACATCACGCGGGTTTTACCGGGGAAACACTCACGCACTGAACCGGCAGGATCGCGCAGTGGTTGTGTCCGGTGTGTGGGGATAAAGTTTCTGGCTATCATTATGGTTTATTAACCTGCGAGAGCTGCAAGGTATTAAATCAGGAGATTTCAATACTGTAAAATGTTTTCAGTAACCTCAAATCTGTCTGATGTGATGACATTCGTCTAAATGAACAGGTTTTAAGTATAAGAATATTTTTTTCTTAATCTAAATGTTTCATATGTTTATCCTGAATAATTGAATAAGCCTATGACTGAATCAGCCTGGCTACCTTAGCAAAGTAGGCTGTTTTGAAGGGTCAGATCAAGTAGAAAAAGCTATTTTAGCTGACAAATGCACTTAAAAAAATGTTGGGTTGTTTCAAGCCAACTTTGGGTCAAATATGGACTAACCCAACTTTTGGGTTAAAAATGTAATGTAAAAATTTAACCCAACGGTTGGGTTAGTCCATATTTGACCCAAAGTTGACCCAGCATTTTTTAGAGTGTATAAAGGGTTAGACATTTTTGTCGATATATTAGATATTAAATACATAATATTTCGATGCTGCAGTCACTTCGAACAAATCACGTAGCCTGCTTATTCATTTTAAAGTCACTTTGGCAATTGATCTATAGATAAATGATTCTGTAGAATTGATCATTTTAAATGTTTCTTTTCTTTTCTTCTTTCTTGTCGAGTGGTAACATTATTGTCTCCCTTCATTTTAAAGGGTTTCTTTAAGAGGACCGTACAGAATAACAAACGGTACACATGTGCTGAGAGTCAGGACTGTAATATCGATAAAACCCAGAGGAAACGCTGTCCGTTCTGCCGCTTTCAGAAATGTCTGAACGTCGGGATGCGGCTGGAAGGTGAGCGAAATATGCGTAATATCATATTTAATCTCAAATTCAGTTCGGTATAGACAACTGCATAAATCTGAAATTCATAAAGGATACTTGGAAATCAAATAATAATACATCATTTAAATGATTAGGCTACAATTGAAAATATTTTCTTGTAAAAATCATATTTGTAATTTTTTAGATCTGTTTGTTTTTATTATATTGATTAATTCCTCGTACATTTTTTGTTATCTTATCATTTATTATTAAAATCTGTATGTGTGTGGATAAAGGCAATCTCGTGACAGGGTCTGTGTATTTCCTTATGGAAAAATTGGCTGAAAAAAGATTAAATCACATTCCGTAATGTGGCAGGTCTATTTAAAAAAAAAAAAAAAAAAAAAAAACGAATAAGAATTTAAATTGCATTGCAGACAGTTGATTAGCTTCACATGTAGATGTAGAATTAGAGAAAAAAGACGAGGAAAAATAAACAGTGAAGAAAAAAAAATCGCCGTTCTTGTTGCAAGGTTGCTATTATCTGCAGGCACCTTTGCCTTACCGGCTGCGCGCGCTTTGCTTCTGGATCAAGGTTAAGTATTCATTTAAGCACAGCTCTATTTTTAATCAGTCAGGCTATAGAGGTATTTTTAACTAGTTCGTGAGTTAATAGAAGGACGAATTTTAGAGAAACGGACAAGAAGCAACATGTAACTGCTTGCAGAACACGATTCTTTTCTTCTAAAAAAGAAACATTCCAATTAGAACCAAAAACGGTTCTGCTACATACATGAAAAGAACCCTTTTTAAGTTCCACAAATATCTTTTTATTATTAATTTAATCAAATAAAATAAACACTGATCTGAAGAATAATTTGTATTTATTTGACTGTAATTTTATATTACTGTATAGAATATAAATATAATACAATACTTTTCATAATACATTTTATAATGCTTTTAAATGAATATGAAATACAGAACATGTATACATACTGTTTTTTATTTGTATGACTTTTTATTTAGATTGATTATAATATTCAATTATAAAATACTTTTGTATAATACTGTTAAATATTAAGATTAATCTAAAATGTATTGTAATATGGTTTTGTTTGTGCTCACAGCTGTCCGTGCTGATAGGATGCGAGGAGGGCGCAATAAATTTGGCCCCATGTACAAACGAGACCGGGCGTTAAAGCAGCAGAAGAAAGCTCTCATCCGGGCCAGCGGCTTAAAGATGGAAGCCACGCCCCCTTTGATGCCATCCCCTCAGTCTGACTACAGCTTCAGCACTGCTCTGTCCACCCCGGCTCCAAAAAACACCCACCCAAACATCAGCATCTCGGTGGCCCCTACAGATTACGAGCGCAACCTCTACGCATCCAGTTCCCTGAGCTTATCCGTCCCCATCCAGGCCCACACCCCTCTGCCAGCTCAGTACCCGGCGTATCCCACCCTGGCCAGCCACGCCATCAAATCCGAGTACCCCGACCACTACACAAGCGCAGAGCATTACACCTGCGCCAGCTCCCCAGAATCCGTTCCAGGCTACACGTACGTCGACCAGACGCGAGTGTCGACCAGCCCACCACTCGCCCCTCCGGGCTTAACGGTACCGCCACTGGTTCTGGAGTTTGTTCGCTGTGAGCAAGATGAGCTGCAGGTGCAAAGCAAGATAAGCGCTCACCTGGCCCACCTGCAGCAGGAACAGAACTCTCGGAGCGAGGCGGCCAATCAGGAACAGAACACACGTCTCGCTGCCAAACAGGAACGGCTCAGCACCTTCGGCCTGATGTGCCACATGGCCGATCAGACGCTCTTCTCTATAGTGGAGTGGGCGCGGAGCTGCATCTTCTTTAAGGAGCTCAAGGTAAGTGTGAACACGAGCGAAACTGAATTAAAGGGTTAGTTCATCAAAACATGAAATTCTGCCATCATTTACTCCCCCTCATGTTGTTCCAAACCTGTATGAGTTTCTTTTGTTGTGCTGAGCACAAAAAAAATTAAAAATCTGAAGAATGTTGAGTTGACGGTAGCCATTGACTTCAATAGTATGGAGAAAAATACTATGGAAGTCAATGGCTGCCGCCAACTGTTACCAAATTCTTCAAAATATCTTTTGAGTTCAGCAGAAGAAATACATTTATTCAGTTTTGGCACAACTTGAGGGTGAGTCAATTATGACAGAATTTTCATTTTTGGGTGAATTATCCCTTAAATAAAACCGCCTTGCATCATATTTGCTGAACATAATTTTGGGTTGCTGATTCAAAAAATATAGTCTGTTTTGCTCAAGCACGTCCCACTTTCTCACAATATATGATGCGTTTTGTCACATGTTTGCTTTTAACAATCATTTGTAAAGTGAAAAAGTCTTGTATTATCCCTAAATCACCAGAAAGACTGCCACAAAGATTCCTATCGTCCTGTAAACCAGGTTACAACTATTTGTTCAGTTCTCAGCCATTTTCCACATGTGTGAATGATTTTGAAGACACTGTCTATGCCTAATCCTGATTTCAAGCTCAGAGTTATGGCCAGCGACAAGAAAATGCAAACGTGACCCAGAGGTTTTCTGCTAAATCTGTGGGTGTTTTGCATCCAAATGGTGACATAAAATTACAGAATTTGTGAGGGGGAAAAAAAGCTTATTTATTTATATACTTGTGTTCATGTCAAGTTATTTGACATTAAATGGAGCATTTGAGGCAAATAGGGCAAACAATTATTTTCAGTCATTTGCAGATTTTAAATAATACATTTTGAATACTTCCTTTTGTCATTTGAAACCTTCGAAAATTGTTGCTATTTTAATAAGTGCAAAGCTTATACATATATATATATATATATATATATATATATATATATATTTATATATATAATCTTAACTTTTTAATTCTTATTTTGTAAAAACTTTACTTGATTGAAGTTTTTATTGATATTTTTGAATCCAGTATCATCAGATTAAGTTAGGCCTTTTACACACGCGCGCGCGCACACACACACACACACACACACACACACACACACACACAATGTTTGCATGAACAGAGCGGATGCGGTTGGCATGATGAAATGATGCTGACATGGATGAACAGGAGTGTGTGTGTGTGTGTGTGTGTGTGTGTGTGTTTCCAGACGAACAGACCCGGCCTGCTGTGTTTGCTCTGGCTCACTGTCACGTTTCTAATTGCTCTAGCATGCGGACAGTGATGTCTGATGTGATTCAATCAACAGGTGTATTTGAGGAAATTATTATAGCCGTCTGGTAATTTTATGCATTATGTTTTGTAGCATAAATGGCACAAATAGCAGGAAACACTGCATTGTAATAATGGTTTGAGCTGGTGTTGAAGGAAAAGCCTGTGAATATTGATAACGATATTATAATAATCATTATAAGGCATATTTTGTGCACATTTATATAAACTACCATTCAAAAGATTGGGGTTGATAAGATTTATTCATGTTTTTGAACATAAGAAGTCTCTTTTGCTCACCACGTCTGGTTTTATTTGATCAAAAATACAGTAAAAACAGTAATATTGTAAAAATAATGTTAAAATTTTAAATAACTGTTTTTTATTTGAATGTATTTTAAAATGTAATTTATTTCTCGGATGCAAAGCTGAATTTTCAGCATCATTACTCCAGTCTTCAGTGTCACACGATCCTTCAGAAATCATGCTAATTTGCTGCTCAAGAAACATTTGTTATTATTATCAATGTTGAAAACAGTTGTGATGCTTAATATATATATATTTTTTGTGGAAACAGTGATACATTTCTTTCAGGATTCTTTGATGAATAGAAATTTAAAACAATCAGTATTTATTTGAAATATAAATATTTTGCAACATTAAAAAAATGTAATAGTCTTATGTAAATGTCAAATTACAAAATGTAAATGTCATTGTCATAAAACTATGAATTTCTTTAAAAAAACAAATCTTACTGACCCCAAACTCTATTTTTTATAATTAATACTGGATACTGAACTGAATTCATTTAATAGCAATTTTGCAATTATTACAAGATTATTAAAACTGTAGAATTTTCATGAATCTTGCATTAATACATTCTGACTTGAAGAGGCGTCATCTTTTGCATATTTCAACAGGAAGTCTGGATTTACTGTTAATCCGAAATGCTGAGATATATTTAAGATTCATTTTACAAAGGCTCATTAACTTTTTCAGAACAATCTTAAATTGAGAGCTCCTGCTATATTGTGTCCATTATAACCTGTGGCATTGAGGGGTCTTTAAATAAAACACTTAGGTTTTGGTGGTCCTGAAGAGATCTTTAAATAAACTCAAGAGTGTTTGTTGTCTTAGAGGAAATAGAGGATGCACTCCTTTCTTTTGTCCATTCTGAGCTGCTGTCGCTTTCTGTTGTGTTTCCAAACCCTGCTGAGAATGCGGCATAAACACAATCACACGTTACAACATTTCAATATAATACTGGCCGTTATTCACACACACACACACACACACACATGGACAATGATACTCTGTGAAATCGCACACACATAACAGAATAACCTTCTCAACACACACACACACACACACACACAAATAGAGATAAGATGGAGGTAGGAAACAGAGGCTTAGAAAACAATAGGAAGGCCAACGTAAAATCTGAAAGATTATTATTAAAATCAGAAGAAAAAAGCAGAGCGTGAATGAAAACATGGAATTATTGCATTGAAATAGCAGCAATAAATCACAATACATTTTTAGTTTCAAATAAAATACAAGACACATAGTCGCTTCTGAATTTGATTTAAAACAATTGTTAGTGTCTGCAACAAATAGAACTAAATCTTTTACTTGATGTTCTTCATTTTTAGTGCAAACACCGCAATTTCCAGTCCTTTACTTCTCAGTACCTGTGTCTGTCTGTGTGTGTGTGTGTGTGTGTGCGAGCATGTGTGTGGGGGGGTTTAGCAACAGCATTCCTCTCCAGATAAGGGGAGAATGTGAATGTTGCAGTGTCCGTGTGTTCAGTCTGCCTGAAGATTTTTCTTATTCAACAAGTCTCACTCTTTTTAATTCATCAGATTCCTCCAGAAAATAGTTGTTATACTCAGCTGACTATTATTCACTCCTGAAAGATTCCAATTAGAAGCAAAGTAGTTTTTATATTCTGATGTAATAAGAAAACCTTTCTACATTCCACTGAAACCTTTTTATTTTATAGTTCTTTAGAAACCCGCTGATCTGAGGAACCTAAAGAACTTTTTTCATCTCCATAGGACCCAATGAAAAGAAAATTTTTTGCCAAACTTTTGCAGAACCATCGAAGAATCTTTTATTTTAAGAGTGTTGATATTTTTATTGTCATTGACTTATACCTGTAAAATCAATATTAACCTGTGCTTTTCAATTCTTTCTAGACAGTAAATGCATCTACTGTCAATGTTTAGTCTGAGCATTTAATGAATATTTATTTTGTTAATTTAAAATGCAGTAAATATGCTTCTCTGGTCCATCAGTTTGATTTAGTCTGCCACCTACAGGTCTGGAGATCATGTGTCTGGCTCAGAGAATGAATAACACAGGTTCATCTAGCTAACATGATTGTCCAGAATTAATCTCTTTAGCTATTTGCAACATGATGTTTTTAGGCAAAAGACATTCTGTGTTTTAGAATATTGGTGTATTTTTGGCCTGTTCTGTGATGCTATTCTGAAGAGGCTTCATAATAATTCCTTATTTAACAAAAAAAAAAAGTTGTGCAGGGTTATCATCAAACTAAAATTATAACCATAAAAAAGTCAACGTAAACTGAAATAAAATATAAAACAAACTTATTTTATTTCAGCTTTATTTTCATTTAGTTTTACTTGAAATCCTAAAATAGCTAATATAATTAATAAACTAAAACTAATAAAAATAAATAATTAATAATAAAAATGACAAAACACATAACAAAATTTTTAAAAAGTCTAAAAAAAAAAATAAAAAAAAATACACTGCAATGGTACACTCTCAGAAGAAAATGAACAAAAGCTGTCACTGGGCCGATATCCTTTCAAAAAGGTACAATTATGTAACTTTAAGATGCTAATGTGCATCGTTTAGACGTAAATAAAGTACAAAGGTGTATCTTTTGAAAAAAGACCAGCTTTTTGTACCTTTTGTTCTGAAAGTGTACAGTCATGGTATCAGTTAGTAATACCATAGTACTTTGATATATAGGCCTATTCCAAAATACCATATTCACAAAAGCTTTAGTGATCCCATGGTATGTTTTGTAAGTGACGTGACATACTGACTGACTGTAATAAAGCCCCTGAGGCAGGATGCTGCTGTATTAATACCATCATCACATCCTCTGTCTGTGCTGATGGATTGTTTCCACTTCACACTATTACCTGAACAGGTGTGTTCACACACACATATCACACCCACACATACGCCGGATGTGAACCCTCTGAAGACAAACATATGCAGTGTGTCTGACAGTTTGAAAGATGTCTCTCTAGTGGTGTTCAGTAAAGCATATACCATACTTGCAGACAGTGTGTAGAATGCATTTGTGTGTGTGTGTGTGTAACACTGATGATTTCAAAAGTTTGGGGTTGCTTATTTTTTAATGTTTCCAAGTGTTTTAGACTGATTAAGGCAGCATTTATTAATACATTAAAATCAATCATATTTAAAAATATTATTACAGTTTCAAATAACAGTTTTATTTTTGAATATATTTTAAAATGTAATTTATTCCTGTGATGCAAAGCTGAATTTTCAGCATCAATTTCAATCTTCAATGTCACATGATCCTCCAGAAATCATTAGAATATGCAGATTTTCTGCTTAATATTTTTTTTATTATTATTATTAGCATCAGTGTTGAAAATAGTTG